TGTGTGTGTGTGTGTGTGTATACGTTTGTTGGTACATTCATCTGGCCCAGTCAATCAAAAGGTCTCAAGTTCTCACTTGACCTCTTCATATTCGGACAATATATGCTTTGTGAAACTGAATGTGTTTTTGCTTTGTGTGTGTTGTTTGTGTGTGTGTGTGTGTGTGTGTATGAAAAGCTGTTGTTGCCGTTTACTGTTCCGAGACCAGATGGTCTGGCAGGTTATGCAAAGATTTCGGCCCAGTTGAGTCTGGACGAATGCACAATTTGCTCGAGCACATGACGACTCACGCTTGTGTGGCTGTGGTGGATGGGCGTGCACATACGCCAATTTAATGCATGTGTGGTGGCAAGTGGGTTTCCGGGCCAGTGAATTGTGGCCGCGGCCGTGTGGACGGGGTGGGCGATAAAAGTGGTCTAACGCCTATCCCACCTGTCCCTAAAGACCACAACTAGGAGGCCGCTCTTCATGATGGACATGTCGAGTGTGTTTCTCAATGTCTTTCACTAAACAGTCATTTTGTTTCAGAGCAAACAGTCCCTCAAACGGTACCGGGAGCGTCGCGAAGTAGGATGGTTCAATGAGTAAGTGTAGTAACAAGACCTGTACCTGCCCTGAGCTGAGCTGGTGTGCACATGCGCGTGGCTGGTTGGAGATGGGCTCTTATTTACTCTGAAAACATGCAAAAAGAGCACTTGAGGTGTGGCCGGTTTGAAGGCACGAATAAAATGTAAACACAATTTCTGCTCGTCGTCGTCGTCGTCGTCGTCGTCGTCGTCGTCGTATCAGCTAATCTTCTCCCAATCACCACTTTGTGTGCTCATGACAAACATTGTATGTTCATGCAATATCGTCAACATTTTAACATTTGGCAGCTTTTTAGAGTATCGCTTTTTACTTTCGTGATTGCCATGGCCATGAGGTCAACCTCCGAGGCGATAAGAGCTTTGAATTTGAGCTCAACAATTTTTCACGTCTCGCCTACTACTCACATGCATATGAGTAGGCCAGGGAATGGCGAGGTTAACTTTGGCCAGCTGCTGCATGTCAGGAGCCGGTTTCGACAAGTTATCACTTTATCATATTTTGTAAATGTATTTCCAGGACTGGTAGTCAAATTATCCGAAAATGTCTGCATATCAAAAAAGATAATCTCATGCGAAATTCAATGGAAGCGTAAAGTCTACTCACATCATTTTGGGAAAACATCTCATGTATATGATCTACTGGTAGTCTCGAAAGGCTACCTATAAACGAATAATACAATCATTCTACCTATTTGCCTATTTTGCCGGATAGTAACATAATAAAAGGAAATAGGGTGGTATATAATTATGATATATATTAATTTATTGTTATTATTATATTATATTATAATATAATTTATTTTTATTCTGCCAACTTGCTTTATGTAGTCAAAAATCCTCGCTCCTCTCTCAAGGAGCCTTGTCCAATGAGCCGGAGTCCATCCGAATGTACAAGAAGGTGAGACAGACAGAGGATCCCACGTCACTGGGCGCTAATGACGCCGGTCAGCTTCTGTCGCGTCCATACTTCAGTACAATCACACTTTCTACAATGGCCAACGGAGACGACAACTCGACTGGCGCCATCGGTGCGAAGCCTGACCCGCACGGCTTGAACGAGGGACGCTGCAGTCCGGCAGATGCAACTGTCCACAGCCGATTGATGCACCGCTCTCTGATCGACTCGAGACTGGGCTCGAACACGTCGAATTTCGTGGAAACGGCCGGCTACCTCGACCGTCGGTTGGACGACGAAGAGGCCTCCGGCTCGGTCCGCTTCTGTTCAGATCGGGACTCGGGCTCTCCGGTCTCGTCTCCTTCGGTCGGACTCAACTATCCGCCCGCCCGCACAGCATCAGAAAGCGTCGTCCGTCAGCATGACGTCATGCTCAGTGACTCGATCTCGCTCAATCTCCGCCCAACAACTGTTGGCAAGGCTTCACAGTCCGGACATCCGAGCCATCTGCAGCCGAGCTCACATTTCCTCCTACCCTCTGGACCCTCATCGTCCGGCAGCAGCGGATGGACGTCGCTGAGTGGCCAGAAGGTCTCCTACATGCCCATCAAGTTTCGGAATCAAGGAGACGCGATCTGCGATGACAACTTGTCACTTTCGGCCTCGTCGGTTCATCTTCTGGCCGGTGGCGACAGTCGGAAATCACAATTTTCCACACAATCTCGTGACCATTCGAGCGGACCGTCCACGGGACAGACCATTCGCGTGTATGAAAACAGTGAAATGGACTCGGGTGTCGGATCCGAACCGGTCGGTGTTGTCGGTGAAGGCGCCTTCAGCGGCGACGCCACGGTCGACTCGTATTCGTCAATCCACTCCTCACCGCCGGCCAACAAAGACGACGAGCCGGGCCTAATCGGCTCTCTGTTTCGAGGCGTTCAGTTTAGAACGTCGTTCTACAGACCGGGACGACACATTTCGCTGAACGCCGGCAAAACCATCTTCAACTGGTGAGCCAGTTGACGTTCATTTGATGATTATACTTTTGGTAAAAATCACAATTTATAACTTTGTCGACTCGTAGCATTTCATGTGACAATCGCATAAAAATGTCATCTTTCCTCACATTTTGTGCAAAAAGGTCTTGAGCAGATACAGGACATTTTCACACGTTGTCATGTGTCTTTCTACATCCTCGATTTGGTAGAAATTTAGATTGTGGTTACTAGGCTATCTAACCAGGATACCGCGTACACATCCGTCTGGACGCAATTTGTATAAAACTAAAGTGAATAGTCATGACACTTTTTCAATTATCTATATATCCTTGTTCTCTACACTCAGATTTGCTATGCGCAAATGGATAAATGGATGAATGGGTGAATGGATGAATGGATGAATGGATGAATGGATGAATGGATGAATGGATGAATGGA